AATTATTCAACTGTGCTCTGACTTCAGAGTTACAATGATATTAGAGTCTTCATGTCATCTCCCTCCACAGGTGTAATTCACATCGAGTCACTCTCCCACTCTTTACCGTGTAACTTATATTTGGGTCACTCTGGCATTGTGATCACTTGAATATACAGCTATACATTCAAAATCTGATTCTTTATCATGCTAAAAACCCGTCAACTCATGAATCGTCACGTCTGTTTGCTGATCCCTTTTGACTGGCTAAAAGCGTGGCAGGCAATGTCAACATCAGCATCAGCCGACTCAGCCGGTGTGTGTTTAGAAACGTCATGATGACTGATTTGATGCAGTAGCCTATATGCACACTTGTGTATTGTTTGTTAACCAATTAGCCTATACAATTTAGATGTTTGAAAACCGCCAAACTGACCCCAAATTTTGTCCTCCCGCCCCAAACCAATTTTTACCCACTCAATCAAATTCAAAACGCAGGAACACGCCCATAACCCGCCCAATCTGGCAACACTGTGTCAGAGAGGCGCATACAAGTGAAGACGGTGCTCATAGGGCGTTGGAGTATTGAACTGGAGTTATTTTGCTGCTTTACAGGCCTTGAACGAAATATATATTTAATTTACACAGTGAAGAATATGCAGTGTTTTTTTGATTGACACTGGTGACAATAATTATGAAATTTCTATGGTATCAAAAATGTTGTTATCATAAAGAGCTTCTTTAAAGCAAAAATAACTATATTGTGATATATATCGTTACCGTGAAATAAAATTACTCATATCATGATATAAGATTTTGGTCATATCGCCCACCCCTACATACAGTTTGTAACGATTTAAGGATGAGTAAATGATGACAGAATTTTCATTTTGGGAAGACTATCCTTTTAATAGGATAATCAGAGCATAAATCCTAAACATTCAGTGTTATGCTATGTGCTTTTAATTATACAGAAGATGAAGCAAAGACTTATATGTAATAAGATAAAGTAATATATCACTTTAGTGTTACCTTGACAGGTGCGTCCATTAGGTGACATAGAGTAACCATGGGGAGGACAGGCACATGTGTAGCTACCTGGGACATTCACACACTGGAATGCACAGAGGTTTCCAATGCTCTGTGAGCACTCGTCGATATCTAGAGAACAAATAAGAGCATTTCATCATTATCACTGAGAAAACTAGCCATTTATAAAGAACATCACAACAAACCACTGTGAGATGGGTTTGGCCATTAACCAGAAAGATTTGTGTTTAAGAAAATGTGCCAACAACACACTAATTGCTACACTTTGCTGAAAAAAATCCATCCTTATTAAAATATTCAAGACATTATTGATCTCATATCACCATCAGAGGATCCCCATCATCTCTTTAATCAACATGCAGTATAATGGGAATGTGTCCTTGTACTTTAATCCTTAAATGGTACGAATGGATTGATGAAAACTAATTTTAATCTATTTCCTGGCTTAAGGACATTGATAACACTTCACCTTCACATGTGTGCCCGTCCTCTTTCAGGTAGTAGCCCATTCGGCAATAACACTGGTAGGAGCCATAAATGTTTGCACACTCCTGACTGCAGGGATTGTTGTCACATTCATTAATATCTATGAGAGAACACAGAAAACATCAAGTTTCTGGATTAAAAACTGTTTGTTTGTACAAATTTGCATGAATCATTACAGTCTTGTGCACACTGGCAGGGTGTCATAACAGCGCAAATATAAAATGGGGTCCAAAAGTCTGATACCACTCTGAAAATTTGGGATTGAAAATCTAATTAAAACCTGGGAAAATGGTTAGGCAGATGTAAATAAAATTTAAAAATAATAAAAAAGAGGAAATATTTATAATTCACTATTTATAGATGACTAATGGATCATTCTCAGATCATAATGGAGAACATGGACAGCTGTTTTTTATATTCAACTGTCATGTTCATGAAAAAAAATATTGTATTAAACTGCTAACTCTGCAAAATGGCACATGGAGTATATTTTTATTTTACTACTAACTCCACAGCGGTGGGTGCCCGTCTGACATTCATCTACATCTGTACATATTCCACAGTCTTACTAGTTCTCGCAGACTTTACAAGTACAGTTAGCATATGCTAACAGAAATGGTAACAAAAAGTACCATGCTACTAGAGTGGTTTTTCAAAATTGTACTGTACCATGGTACAAACAGCATGATTTTTTTTTGTACATGCATCATAGTAGCTTGGTATTTATTGAGGTTCCTTGGTACATGAATAAGGTTATCATTCAGTATCATGGTATTATCATCTCATACCATCATTTACCATGGTACTGTCACAGTACTTCCTAGGTATGTTGTTTAAACAAGTGGAACTGGCTTTTGTCAAGCCCCGCTTCAAAAAGAAATAAAAATTAAAGTTGGTGGGAACCAATCAACAAGGAAATTTATTTTAAGTTCTATTCATAATATGTATAATTAATATAATATAACTACCAGTTTGGGGTCAGTATGATTTTTGAATGTTTTCGAAAGAAGTATCATGCTTAGCATTTATTTAATCAAAAATAAAGTAAAAACAGTAATATTGTAAAATATGATTACAATTTAAAATTCCTGTTTTTTCTTTAATATATTTTAAAATGTCATTTATTCCTGTGATGGCAAAGCTGAATTTTCAGCAACCATTACTCCAGTCTTCAGTGTCACATGATTCTTCACAAATCATTCTACTATGCTGATTTGGTCCTCAAGAAACATTTTTTTTATCATTATCAATGTTGAAAACAGTTATGCTGCTTATATTTTTGTGGAAACCGTGATACAAGGATTCAGGATTCTTGAATGAATAGAAAGTTCAAAATAACAGCATTTATTTGAAATAATCTTTTGTAATCCGTACTAAATAACAGTATTAGTTTCTTAAAAAATAAATCGTACTTATCCCAAACTTTTGAATAGTAATGTATGTCTATTATATATATATATACATATATATAAAATTAAAAAAAATCTAAAACCATTAAAAGGTGTCTGAAAAGGTCGAGTTTAAAAAGTTGTAGGGTTAAGGTAAAAGTGTGTATATTTATGAGAAGGGTATAACTGCAGCCTGGAGATCTCCAAATGGGGGCGGGAACTCCAAAACGGGGTGGGAGCTCCAAAATAGGGCGTGGCTTCCTCCCATTTGCAGACAGGCACATGACACGCATGCGCACTTTCCCCCCCAAGCCACTTCAGTGTAAACTCCGCCCCACAGCTGATTCTAAAGATTTTATTGGTTGTCAATTAAAGTGTTGATTTCCTACACTATGCTACAAAAAATGCTAACCCCTAAACTTACCCCACACCTGACCCTATAACCAGTGATATTGACTGCACGGCGGGATTGGCGCTGAATAGCGTGGTAAAGAAAGTTGCAGTTCAGGAGATAAACAGTTAATACGATTATGCGATATGAGATTGTTCCGTAATTCCCAAACCGGACCTCACCGTACAATGGCACCTATTTAGTTACACCCAGCATTACTACCCCCTCCTACCCTGCGAATTTCGAGCCCCGGGACGCCCCCGCTGCTTAGAACAAATTAAGCGATAGAGTAAAATATTTCCCCTTCGCCTCGTGGGTGATACACCACTGGCCACGAGCTTTGGGCTCTGCTCTCACGGAGAAAATTTACTTATATAGCATATTTTATTTTAGATCAACTAGAAACAATCTTTAATTTATAAAGTTTTATTTTGAAATGTAAGTCAATAACAATTGGCTGAAGCCAGAGCCAATGGTGAAAGTCTTTGAGCGAGGAGACCCCGCCCCATTTTGGAGGTTCTGCCCACTTTTGGAGTTCACGCCCCATTTTGGAGATCTCCGGTCTGCAGTTATATCTACTTGGTATTTATGTGCGTCCTCACCAATACATCGTGCTCCATCAGGGCTGGAATGGTAACCCCGACTGCACATGATAATCTTGCGCTGACAGGTGTAAGAGCCCACAGTATTTATGCAGTTAAAGCCAGACGTACATGGTTCTTTCACACTGCTGCATTCATCGATGTCTAAAATAAAGTGAGAGAGAGCATAAAAGTGAAGGCATATGAAACAAAAAGCAACTTTCTTGTAAAAAAAAGTCTTTGCTTGATGGGGCTGTCATTTGCATTTTTCAGATTTTGGTATTCTTCATGCATCTGTCCACTAGGGGGCACTGAGTGACTCTGTCTTACCGATGCAGTTGCCGTGTGAGTCCTGAATGAAGCCTGTGAGGCAGCGTTGCTTCGGGTTACAAGTGAAGGAGCCATCAGTGTTCTGGCACTGGAAGCCCATCCCACAGTTATGGGTTCGCATAACACACTCATCGATGTCTAGAAGAGAGAGAGAGAGTGCACCAGATGTCAAAACAGGCCAGTGGAGCAAGTGGACAGCAAGACGCCACCCAGTCGGGTTCCTGCTATGATAGATTTGTTTAGCTTTTGAGACTGATGCTGTTATAAGGTCCAAACAAATTAAGTTTTCTCTCTTAAAAACTTCAGGAAAATCTGTAAATCTCACCAAATTTGGCAAGCATAGCAGCATAATGAATAGACAGAGCTAATCTGAGACATCTGATGGAGGAGATGGGTTTGGACAGAGATCACAACAGTACTCGATTACAAGTTAGAACTTCACAGTAGGTGGCACTGTGGCTCAATAACAAGCCGGGAAAGCATGCTTCCACTTCAAGGCAGATGATCTCACAGGATCAAACCCTAGTTTCTCCATAGTCATCCACAATTGCATACTATTAAAGTAAAAACTAAATAAATTTGTATTTCACAACTTGTTGACATCAAACTTTCTTCATCTATATAGACACGACTAAAAGCAATAATAACCTGCATTTCAGTTATCGAGTCAAATGTTGATTCAGTATCCGCTCTGATGGAATAAGTTCAGAGAAGGATTCAAACCGGTATCTTGCCTTTTTGAACTCCTATTAACTCATATGGTCATGCTGAATGTTTTTGATTTACTAAAAAGAACTGGCTTATGATGAGTCTTTTGTTCATGAATCGGCTGCACTGGTCACACTGTATGTTTTTGATTCACTAAAAAGAACCAGCTCATAAGAGTCATATGTTTGTTAATTGGACTGCTTTGTTCATGTTGTATGTTGTTTTAGCATGCAGCCCGAGGACAAGTCAACAGAAAGACATAGATATTGTCTGGTACACCAACTAAAATGTAAAATATGATTTCTTAGCACCATTACCTAAGCAAAATGAAACCCACTTATGGCCATTGATGAGCCCTTAATTTCAGATGTCCAAAACCTGCAATTAGTTAAAATCCACTACTTCCATTCTGTCACTTATTATGATTATTATTCCTCCACATTTACAGTATTAGCATGCACCAGGCCAAGTCCTGACAAGAACCAGAGACTCTTGCAAAGTTTTCTCTGTTCAAAGGCAATGGTTAGATGTGTCTAGGCATCTGCTTTGTGTAAAAACAGACTGCGGGAATCTTTAGATGTTAGCAATCGAGAGCCCGAGGCAATCAGCTGTGGCCTCTTTCGAACTGCGAAGGCCTGCAAAATTCGCATTTTACTGCACAGATTGATGAATGGTTTCTGGTTCTTCTCTGCAGCGGTGACGGTGGTGTGTTTAGATGATGAAGACACTGGTCCGAGATCTGTGGAGTAGTGTGGGCTAGAGGACTCTGACAAGGATGGAAGACCGTTTGTTATTGATTTTGTCCATATGCATCACTGGATAGCTCTTATAGCTGGGCGAGAGTTGGACCACTGCCATGTTTCTGCTGATCTTATCTCATGTTAATGCATAGTTCACGCAGACATAACTCTCAGCATATTTTAAGTAATAGAACAATGCTCTCTGTGTACTTTTAGTGAAATTAAAGCTTAAGTGTGTAATTTTTGCACCACGTACTAAACATACAAATAATGTCTGTTTTCCTGATCACTTCTCCGTTTGTCATTGGTGACACAAATTGACAGTCCCACCCCCAAATACACACTATTGCTTGAACAAATATTGCTAAATGCAATTACTTCCGTCATCAAAATTTTGAGGTCAATATATATATATATTTTTTAAGAAAGTTACTTTTATTCAGCAAGGATGCATTAAATTGATCATAAAAGAACTTAAAGACTTTTACGTTGTCACAAAAGAATGTTTAAAAGTTACTTTCTATTCATCAAAGAATTCTAAAAAAAACAACAACAAAAACAATATTGGTAAGAAATGTTTATGTACCAAATCAGCACATCAGAATGATTTCTGAAGGGTCATGTGACACTGAAGACTGACATGATGGCAAATTCAGCTTTGGAATCACAGGAATAAATTACATTTTTAAATATATTAAAATAAAAAAAACAGTTATTTCTAATTATATTTCACAATATGACTATTTTTACTGAATTTCCGATCTAATAAGGTCAAATAGGTAAGAGATACACATTAAATTAAATACTGTTTTAGTATTTTAATTAAATATATAGTTAATTTTTTTTAACTGAATACAAATTTTTGGATTACATTTAGCTTTCTCTAAAACATTTTATTGTGTACAAATTATTTAACATTTATTTCTGATTTATTTATCTGTTCATCATTTGGTAACAGACTGCTGCAGTTACTAAAAAGGTTTTTTATTTTTATTTTTTGCAAATATCTATTCCTTAAAAGTACTAAGAGAGTCATTAATGGAAATTAGGAAAAGGTGAATTAGGTAAATTAGGAAAACAAAATTGCATGTGTGTTATGTGTGTATATGTGAGCATTTGTTGATACTGTACCCACCTTCACATACTCCATTCCTCAGCTGGTAACCGCTCGAACATGAGATCTGCCTCTCGCACACAAACCCTCCTACTGTGTTCACGCAGCGCTCATCGGCCTGGCAGGTGTGCGTGTTTGTCACACACTCGTTCACATCTGCAAAGCAAAAGCACAGCATAATTTTACTGAGTTCCAAAGTATAACATCCTCACACAGAGCCAGGGACACAAATGGAGAGTTACATCCACAAAAACCTGGAATGGAGAAGCTGAAGCTGATGGAGAAGCAAGCAGGTGAGACAGCAGTGTAAAAAACAAAGACTGGTAGAGCCCGCTGCATATTTTCATTAGACATGGCACACATAAGGCATTTTACTTCAAGTTCTTTAGTTCTGGCACTGTGGTGAACTGCCAAGATCTTTGTTTGGCCAGATTCATTAATGGCAATAACTCTGGACTACATTGAAAAAAAAAGTCTAAACAAGATTGGAAAAGGAGCATGGCCCAGTGAGAGGAGAAAATAATTACTTGAAGCTTAGATAAAAGCTGATTTGTGGGCCAAGAAAGGGATTCCATCTGTCATGTTATTGCCAGAGTAAATAATTTCAGGGGACTGGGTGGAAATGTTTGAGCTTTCTTCTAGCCACATTAGGAGAGAAGAGAAAAAAAAGCACATGGTACCTTATCTGTTCCACACAACAACTGGTAACACCATACATAGAACAAGGAATTTGACTGTTTGAAAGTTTTTTTGGGCACCCATTTTTGGACTTTCCAGAACGAAATAAAAACAAGTTTTTTAGGTAAATCAGAGCCACTTCACTGTTGTCATGACAGTGACCACACATTGTGAACCTTGTTTTCAGGCAGCAGCACACAATAATAGTCACTGTGTAGTGTAGAGGCAGCTATACATTTTATAAGTAGACAAGAGCAATGCATGCAAATATTACGCAAAGTGGTTCAGTTTTAAGTAATTTTAGTTAATTACTTGAAAATTAAATAAAATAAATTTTTGGGCAAATTTAGTTTTAGAAAGTCTAAAACAACTTGAAAGATGAAAATACATGCCCTTGAATGTGTGTTAATATGTGAATATGTGAAAGTCTACTGAGCTGTTTTGAGAGAAATAGGGAGCAGGCTGAAAAAAAAGTGATTACTCACAAAAAATAGCTGGACATCTCAAACAAACAACTCAAAAACAAACTCAATTTTCAAAAAAGGCTTCCGAAAAAAAAAACTCCCTCATCTTCCTCTGTCTAATCAAACAGAGTGTAACTTTATCTTGCTATTGGCTAAGTCTGTGTTGCTGTGATGGGCCAATTGGGACTAATGAAAGTCTGTTTAATTTTTTTGACTTGCAACTCAGCAAATTTGCTGTCATTCTGGGCATTTTTAATGACTTACTGTAAAAAGAAAATACTGTTCAATTTACAGTCAAGCTACAGTTGCATTGCCAAAAATTCACCATAAAAATGTTTTTAATAAAATATATTTAATTAATACATGGGAATATATTAACTGTTTCCACTGTATGTTATACGGTGGCACATATCTTATAAACAATTTTACAATTACTTTCTTTCATTTTTCAATTCATGTTCATTATTACATGTTTAAACAGTAAATGAAAATTAACAATTCAAAAACATTTTTTTACAGTAACATTGCATTTGATGTAATTTAAACCATTCATAAGTTTTTCCAATTTTTGGAGTTAACAGGTTTAAACTGTTTTTTTTTTTCATTACAATTACAACCATTTTTTACAGTTTACATATCAGGACATACGTCAAGCACCCCAGCTGTTAAAGGGTCTTTTATGTTCCACAGAGTCTTACAGGTCTTACAGGTTTGGAATGACATGAACTTAAGTAAACAATGACAGAATTTTTATTTTTAAGTGGACAATCCCTTTAAAGATCCACACTTCAGTTCCCAGGCAAGTGAGATCACCATCTTTTTTAAAGCTTCCTGCATTCATGTGCACATTACTTAGCCCCAAAAGGCACACAGAAAGCAGCTTTGACACCCTCTTGCACTCTGTTGCAGATCCAGCACAGAAGTGTCAACAAGCTGCCTCATCAACATACACGAGCAGTGGCACTTATTCAAAAAATTTGCTGTATCATATCAATATGGTGAATTGCCTTCAAAATGTGGTGCTCTGAAATGCATTAGAGGAAATGCATGGGATGAATAATGCATTTCTGTAGACTGGAGGCAAAGGGGAGTGGGTTAGTGCTATTGCAAAGGGATGTGACTTCAGTGCAAGCTATCAGGATTATGGTCTGTCAACATTATTTCCACATCAGTGGTGCTGCTGTGATCGATAAGGGTTAGGATGAGATGGTGATGATGACCACCCAAGATGGCTGCAAGCTTGGGTTCACATTTTTGTCTAAATTCCTGTCTTTATTTATGAGTCAGTGTTGTTATTTTAACTAAAACTAAAACAAAATTGTTTTTGTTAATTGAAATAAATATGAAATAATATATTGTATTGTATTACAAATATTATTGGCTTTTGTTCCTCTTTTCACTTTGTCACTTTGGATAAAAGCATGCAAATGAAAAATAAAAAACTTTAAATTTTAAAACTTAAAAATTTGAAATGTTGCCTGTTAACTGAAATAAATAAGATTAAGTCTAAGTACTAAAATTTAAATAAAAATTAAAGAAAAATAGAAATACTTGTGAAATTAGAAAAAAGCATGTAAAATTACAAAAGCTTATATTAAAATGAAAACTGAAAATTAAAAAATAAGACCTAATTCTAATTATATTATTATGAACACACATACAAACACATTTGCATTCTGCATTTTGTAGAATTATGGGAGTACTAAGAAGTGCACCAAAAAATTTCTGTTACTATTTACTAGTTGTTGTTCATTGACCAATTTTGCACTCATATTTATAATATTATATATGCATGTATATTATTCTAAATAATTTATGGTTTAATACTTGAATACATTTGAATTATTTATATATGACTTTAATTTTCTAAATTTTCTAAATTGCATTTAATTATGTATTTTCATAATTAAAGTCATATATAAATCAATTCAAATGTATTCAAGTATTAAACCATAAATTATTTAGAATAATATACATACATATATAATATTATAAATATGAGCGCAAAATTTGTCAATGAACAACAACTAGTAAATAGTAACAGAAATTTCATTTTTGGTGCACTGCTCCTTTAAGAGCATATATGTTTAACATGCATGATCATTATTATTTACTTCATCATTAATTTTCAACCTAACAAAACCATAAAAAAACTGTTGAAAAGTAAAAAATGAACAATCATTTTAAATTATCACACATTTTTCCGTCTGTAGCACAACATATCTTCTATTTGGTTTAGGGGCCATTCTAAGACTCCAAATTAACTTTCTCAAAAATTAAACTGTTTTGTAATAAATTGAGACATTCGTGTATGCTAACCACTAATGCCTGCTTTGGTTATGTCTGGAGGAAGGCAACACAAATTCAGTGGGGCCCCTACGCATCTGGTGAGAAGTCTGAGCAAACATTATACCCATAATGCAACCATATGTATGTGAGCTAGTTGTAAGAGCATGCCGATGAGCTTTTGTATTGCCTCCTTGTGTGTTAGTGAGTGTTTATCTGGGCAAGCGATGGACAAACATGCCCCAACAGTGAGCAGAAACGGTCCCACAGTGCCAGTTGAAACCTCTTACCCACACAATCTCTATTCTGGTTGAGAATAAAGCCCTCATCGCACATCTCATTTAGTCGCACACACTGGTAGGAGCCCTCCCGGTTCACACACACCATGTCCCGAGAGCAATTGTGTCTGCCGCTTGTGCACTCATTCACATCTAAGGCACACAACAGTTTAGTGGAAGAAAACAACACATGCACAGATGCAAACACACATGTAATACATATACGCAACCTCCACCATCATAAATTCATACTAGCATTTTACGAGGTGTGAGACCAGATCAGGTTTTGTTTCTAATAGTGAGGTTTGCTCTCAGTTAATCAACCATTTTATGGTTGTTTGAAATGGGTTTTCTTTGTGGCAAAATCGCATGCAAGTCTGGCTTTATGAATCTAGAACTCTTAATGTTTACCATGTGAATATGGCTTACGAAGGGAAACAGATGCTAAAAAAACTCCAGGAAGGATTTGTAGTCTTGAATTTGCATTTGGAAGTGTAAATGTCTATCATAAATTGAATGATAGCTAATACTAAAACATTTCATTTAAAAAATCCATCCAGTTTCTATAAGTCTTTGGCTCCACAGCAAAGCCAGTCAATTTACAGTTTCGGTCTCCTGAATCAAGTATATAGTAAAATTTGACATTCATGTTGTGCCTCATGTAGGCAATTCACATTTCAGTCAAATACACAGTATTAGTTGTTGTTGAATGTCACAGTAATAAATTCTAAATAAGCTTAAGTAAATCAGAGAATGTGAAATGACTAGTTATTACTTCTACATTTGCTGGAGAAGGTAAAAGCTAATGTACACTGTGCAATTTGTTCTGTCCTTTACGACCGTTGTTTGTCAGATCGTAGAATATGATCCCAGTGAGATCTTGAGTGAAGGCCAAGCAGATAGTGCAACATAAACAGTATTTTATGCCAGACTGTATGATATAAAGCTAATATTGGTCACAATTGACATAACTGACAGGCCATTTAATGGTATTAATCCACATCACGTTTTGATATCCTCATTGCAATTTAAAATGGTACAACATAAACCCAAACCCTTTGAATGTTGTGCATAGAAAAATGTTAATCATAGAAAAGTGTAAAAAAAAAAAAAAACTATCAAAGTAGGAGTCTGAGATTCATTGAAAATGCAATTAATTTATAAAATGTAATTAATTAACAGTATTTATCATAAACATTATACTTGTCAGTTTACAGTCTAAAAAATCTAGGCAGTAAAAATATATAAATATAATTAAAACAAGAAACATTTATTTGATAAACGAAAAGAGAAAAAAATATTTTGATATAGATAACACTTATTTTTAGTGAATGTTTCTAAATTGCATTTAATTATGTATTTTCTTATATTTAATTAATTAATACGTTACATAAACATTTTTCTTACTGTATCACATTTTTTCTTCTGTCACAGTCATTCATAGTCAGGTTGTCAGACTTTGTTCCATGTGTTGTGTGTGTTTTCCTCCCCTCATGTGCTCTATGTTTATTTTTATGCCAATATTTGGTTTTTCCCGTTCCTGTCCTTATGTTTTTATTTATTTATTTCGAACTATTAAAAATACAAAAGGAAAAAAAACACATAATAAATATACAAATAAGTACCAATAAACAAAAAACAAAAACAAATCAACAAATACAATTTTTTTTTTTTTCATATATTCAACCTGTTCGAAATAAAAAAAAGGGTAGGTAGAAGCCCTAGGCTTATTAAATCCTACCCTAAGTAATTACCAATACCAAATCACAATCAGCCATAATAAATCAGACATACCATTTTAAATAACACAGAAATACTACTCCAAATTACGTCCTACTTTATCTATCTATTAAGATAAAGAAGACAAACAGAAACAAAATCAAGCAGCATTAACAACAATGTTGAAATTCTCACTCTCACCCCCCACTTCCGTATTTATCAAAAATAAATCTTTTATACCTTCTTTTAAATTGCAACATATTAATACTTTCTTTGATATATCCGTTTAATTTATTCCATGATATCACCCTACAAATCGAAATACACATACACATGTTCATTTGTTCCAGGTCTTCCTTGTTTAGTTCATTTGCTCCCAGGTGTGTCCCATTAGTTACTGTGTATTTAAAGTGTGTTCTGCCCCTCGTTTCCCGTACGCTGTTAAATGTCATTCTGTGTTCTCTGTGATTTCCTGTGTTCCTGTGTTCCCCAGTTCATTAAAGTTTATGGAATTTTAATTTCCTCCCCGTCTCCTCGCTCCCGTGCTCCCCGTGTGAATCGTGACAGAACAGTGCACCAAAACAATAAGCGGCGCCCCTTCTCCCGTGTTTTTGTTTTCTTTTTGAATAGTCTTTTGTTTTTCTGTTCTTCTCCCAGCGGTATGAGGATCGCCCTTCTGTCAAGCTCGCTCACCGCGTCGTTGTCAAGTCCGCCGGCCACGGCTACCACAAGCCTGCCGGCCACTCCTGAGTCAAGTTTGCTGGTTGCTCCGAAGACAAGCCCGCCGGCCGCGTCATTGTCAAGTCCGCTGGCCGCAGCTACCACAAGCCCACCGGCCGCTCTGAAGTTCGCTCCAGTGTCGGCTCTAGCCCCAGAGCTCACTCCAGTGTTGGCTCCAGCTCCAGTGAGGGCTCTTGTCCCCGAGTCTAGCCCAGTGAGGGCTCCTGTCCCCGAGTTTAGCCCAGTGAGGGCTCCTGTTCCCAAGTTAAGCCCATGGAGGGCTCCTGTTCCCGAGTTTAGACCACTGAGGGCTCCTGTTCCCGAGTTTAGCCCAGTGAGGGCTCCTGTCCCCGAGTTTAGCCCAGTGAGGGCTCCTGTTCCCAAGTTAAGCCCATGGAGGGCTCCTGTCCCCGAGTTTAGCCCAGTGAGGGCTCCTGTCCCCGAGTTTAGCCCAGTGAGGGCTCCTGTTCCCAAGTTAAGCCCATGGAGGGCTCCTGTCCCCGAGTTTAGCCCAGTGAGGGTTCCTATCCCCGAGTTTAGCCCAAGGAGGGTTCCAGTCCCGGAATTCAGTCCAGAGTGCACTCCTGTGCCCGCGCCTCGAGAGTGGGGGGGCACAGGGGGCACATGGCAGAGCAGCCTTCTGAGTTCCCTACTCCGCCATGGCCTCCTGGACTGCCTGCTCCGCCATGGCACCTCGAACAGGTATCGCTGTCCCGAGGGACCTCCAGAGCGCACACTCCCCCCCTCCCCATTGAATGTTGTGTGGCGCGAGGACGCGCCTTCCGGCAGGGGGGAGTGATGTCAGACTTTGTTCCGTGTGTTGTGTGTGTTTTTCTCCCTCCACGTGCTCTGTTTATTTTTATCCCCATATTTGGTTTTTCTCGTTCCTGTCCTGTTCATTTGTTCCAGGTCTTCCTTGTTTAGTTCATTTGCTCCCAGAAGTGTCCCATTAGTTACTGTGTATTTAAAGTGTGTTCTGCCCCTCGTTTCCCGTCCGCTGTTAAATGTCATTCTGTGTTCTCTGTGATTTCCTGTGTTCCCCGCTTTGAGTTCATTAAAGTCTTTGGAATTTACTTTCCTCCTTGTCTCCTCGCTCCTTCGTTCCCGTGCTCCCCGTGTGAATCGTGACACAGGTGTTATACTGTAAATTAAATAAAGAAATCTGCACCAACAAAATATTGTGTTTCTGATCTGGTTTATAGTAACAGCTGTGCATGGCAATTTTATTAGCACCCTCCATGACAAGTTCAGGATATGGATTGGAAAGACCTTGAAATATATTGTCTGCAACACTATCAGTGCAGTAAATAAACATGCAGTAAAAGTGTCAGATCAGACAGGAAGATGTATTGTGAGAGAGCAGAGCTGTCGAACCCAGGGCTGAGGTCACTGTTTATTATTATAGTCAGGGCTGAAGCAGAGTAATTGGTCATGGATCAGTGAAGTTGAAGGAAGCAGATCCTCAGGTAAGACTGTGATGTTCAGGTCATGAAAAATCTCTTGTCATAATCCTTTGGGCATAACTGCTATACCTGAGTGATTCAGTCCAATAAGGGATTGGTTAGTGGGGCTAACCAGCTAACAGGGAACTTTCCCTTAACTTTCACTGACGTTCTTTAAAAGTTATGTAAATGTTAGGACAAAACGTTCTTAAGATAATGTTTATCGAACGTTCTTATAATGTTATTGATAGTTAATTATGCTCTCATAATGTTGAGAGAAAATGTTCTTAGAACAAAGTTCTTGGGACATCCTTATGATGTTATTTGTACTTAATGAATGTTCGCATAATGTTGAGAGGAAACATTCTTAGAATAATATTCTCAGAACATCCTTATAGTATTATTATTTGCTGAATGTTTTCATAATGATGTCATAAAACATTATGAGTACAACATTCATGGTGCATCCTTACAATGTTATTTTTACTTTGTGAACATTCTCATATCATTGAGAGAAAACATTCTTGGAACATCCTTATGATGTTATTTGTACTTAATGAATGTTTGAACGAATGTTTGTTCAAAGTTATCTGGTCTTTAAAAGTCAGCACAAAAAGCATTATTTATACATCATACATGGATGGAGCATATTTTTAAAAATGGTTTAGACGTTCATCAAATTTTTTTTAAACGTTACTATTTGTTTGATCATTAAAGAGAATTGAAGACAACATGAATTCACAAGACATGCATAAGGAATAAACAATGACTGCATGTTATACAGTATATACACTGACTTTATCCCAGCTAACAAAAATGTTCCTCTAATGTTTAGTTAACTTTCCCATTAACTCTTAGTGAACTACTACAGTAAAATGTCAGTAGTACTACAGTACCACTTCAGTAAATTTTTACATTTTTGTAATTCAAATATTTAATGCACTGTGGAAAAATACAAAAACTCTTAAAAATGTGTCTTAACCCAGTTTTTAAATTTCTGTTAATTTGAAATCCATACCTGTGGCTTTAAAGGGGTCATATGATGCGATTAAAATTTTTTCTTTCTCTTTGGAGTGTTACAAGCTCTTGGTGCATAAAGAAGAGCTGTAAAGTTGCAAAGACTAAAGTCTCAAATCCAAAGAGATATTCTTTATAAAAGTTAAGAGTCAACCACGCCTACCTAAAACGGCTCGTTCCAACACGCCCCCCATGTCTACATACAAAGATTTGCATAACAGCGCCCAAATGTTCACGCAAAGAAAGAAGGCATAACTTTTATTCTCGCTGTAGTATTGTTGTTGCCGCCGCCGCCATGTCGTGAAGGCGCTGTGTGTTTCGTTGTGTAAGCAAAACTACTTTGTTTGGCGTTTTAGGTTTACGCGGCGCGATGCAACGCAACACGTAAAAAGACAGTATAAGTCATTATAATCCGTAATTATGTCCCCACTGGATGCAACAAATGCCTCGTTTATAATGGGTTTTAATGTTTATGTCTCACTGCTCTGGCCGGACAGGGCATCACAGTATGGTAAGGGGCGTAACATTTCCGTCACACGCTTGAGGTATTCGGTCAATCACAACACTCTCACACCTCGCTTTTCAGACTGATGAGCTTTGTAAAAATCGACGCGTTTCAGAAAGGCGGGGCATAGAGGAAAAATAATAATGTACAGTATGTGGAAAATAATGTGTTTTTTTAACCTTAAACCGCATAAACACATTTAATTACACCAAATAATGTTCTTTTTAGCAGCATCATATGACCCCTTTAAGAAATTAATTGCTTAGAATTTATCTATTTTCATCATTTGAATAATATCAACATTACTATAAGCAGGGCAGCACAGTGGTTCAGTGGGTAGCACTGTTACCTCACAAATTGATGATACTAAATTGCCTGTGTATGTGGGCCCTGTGATGGACTGGACATCCGGGGTGTGTCCCCTGCCTGTGGCCCGAGTTGGTGGGATAGGCCACCAACCTTGCGACCACAGAGAGCATAAGGAGCGTGGAGGATAGATGGATGAGTAAAAGCAATGTTCCCAGGGGAATTTTAGGAGGATTTTTGCAAAAACCAAGAAAAACATTCTTAAAAGTTTTTAAAAAACTGGACGTTTTGAACGTTAATGTTTTCATAACTTAATAGGAATGCTAGCAAAACATTCTAAGAACATATTTTTGTTAGCTAGGTTATCAGGGTTTTCTGACAGCTGTGCTGAGAAGAGATTGTGTGTGTGTAGTTTTAGACCAATTTAGAGTACTTTACCTTCACAGGTGTGTCCGTCAGCCATCAGAGAGAATCCTGAGAAACAGGAACATTGGGCCAGTCCTCTAACCACAGAGCACTGCTGAGAGCAGGGCCCATTACCTGCAGACCATAGCAAAACTCAGTTAATGCATCTTTCACACTTCTTTATTATACATTACATTATACCTACTACAGCAAGGATCACTGTTGTTATTGTTCATATTTAAGGTTATAAGGATTTGAACAACCCCCTAAGTATTAAAAGTGGCAACATTTGTGACATGAATGATACCTCAAATCTGAAAAGAAGATCCTGACTTTTCCAGGATGTGTGAGAGTGGTCAGTTGTCATGAAAAAAAAAATAATAATAAAACATAAAAATAATAAAATAATAAAAAATGAAATATAATGTTTAAAAATATATATGTGAGCTGCTGTGCTCACATAGATTACGTTTAAAATTTGTGTTATTTTTAGTATCATTGATGTACTATTATAGTTTATAATAACATTTTAAATTAGGTTTTAGTTTTACATTTTAAATTGATATTTTTTAAGTTTTAAGTTTTATTAAAAAAATTTTTTTGTCATTTTTATTAGTTTTTTTTTCTTAAATATGTCTATACAGTTCTTATTAATTTTATTTCAGTTTCAGTTTTAGTTATTTTAGTACTTAAAGTTAAAAGTTAAACTAAAAGAAAATTAGAATGGATGCCTTGGCAACTAGTTGAAATAAAATAGGTTTTTATATACAGTATATTTTATTTTATTTACATTTACATTTATTTCAACTGATGAAACATTTTTTATGGTTTTAATTTTAGAAGCAACAGCCCAGATATAAAAGCACACAGCCTTCACCAGGCTGAGTGTGGGCCTTCTGTATGGCCCTAACAGATTTACTTAAAAATTAAACTGTAATCAGCATGACTTAATGAGTCGCCCAGATACTTCCAGATCCTTTCCGTACTGATTGATACTCCAGAAACACGACAGTGCCCCAGACAACACAGACTTCCAGTAAATGCTTAAGTCCTTAAACGTCTACCATCAGTCCCAAACCAGATATACATTAAACCTTGTGGCATACTTCAGACTTATCTTGTAAAGTGCTATATCTTCTGGATGGCCAGCTGGATGAGGAGGAAAAGAGTCAGTGATTTTTTTTTCCTCCTCTGTTCAGCATGTTTCAATTAAGAAAACATATGTAGTGCAGAACATTAGAATGACCTTACAGTACCTGTGAGGCTACACAATCTGGAATTTAGTTCTCTGTCACGGTGCCAGAATGTTACAGATCATTGAAATATTGTGTCCATCTCATGACAATTGAAAGAACAATGTTATGCGCACATCAAAACAACCCATTATGCCAAGACATGACTAATAGACCGGCTGCTGATCAAAAACCACTTCATTTCAGATTTTGAGTTCAGCCAACCACAAAACATTTGCATAATTTATTTCCATCGTGAATGAAGCTACGGAAATGAATCAGTATTTTTGCCTTTTTATATACTATTGCATATGTGATACTTTATAAGGTACAAAAACGAATAAAATTACACATTTAATATGTATGACTGTATGTGAATATGTGTGTGTGTATTGTGTGTGATCAATAAATGAAGTTAATAATCAATATAAATAACATTTTGTATGTATAAATATATAAATATTATAAAACTATATAATTATTAATATATTACATAACTATAATGTAATAATAAAATATGTTACCACGTTTATTGTTATAATGAAAATCAATGAGATCAATGGCATCGTATACCACATACCTGCGCATGGGTTACGTAAGACCAGGGTTTGAGTAGCAGGTTCTTGTCTTGCTGGAGCTATAGTAAGCAGCCTGTCTTCCTCACTTACTCTGTTGTCTTCTTCCTGGTTCTCTGTGGAAAAAAAGAGAGAGAAAACAGTGAGTCATTCTTTTTTATTCTGCATCTGTTAGGTGGTCTTAGAGGAACAGCAAATGATGGAGAATTTTTCTCCCACATTTAATCATAACCAGATGAGAAATTATGGAAAGTGCACATTTGCCAACACATATCTTGTCATCAGAATTTCTACCATTCCTGAAGTCAGCTGAAGATTGCTGGAGAGAAGTTTGTATCATATCATTAGTTAATTCCTGACATGAGATCAGTTTCACTGGAGCAGCACAACACTATCTCTATCAACACTTCCATGACACCAGAGACACAAAAACAATATTGACACATGATGACAATCCCATCATGCAGTGGCGTTGTTATGGTTTGGCCATATAACCAGGGAAACAAGATAAATAATTACAAACTGCAGTGAATTAGGGAAAACAAAGGTAGCCTGCACTCTCAGCCTATCACTAAACTATCTAGGGATAGTTCCCCATCAGTCAGTCATGTTCGACGTTACATCAGTGACTGACTAATTGGGATCTTGCCTGAGAGCTCCAATCACCTTCAAGTGGTACAAAACAAGCTAATGAATATTGGCGAGTGAGATTTGCATCGCAAACCACTACCTATTACTCCGAGTACGTAAGGAAGCGTTGCATCTCACTCATTCAAGCTTTTGCTTCGGAGCCGAGCAGTTAATACTACTCTGCTCTTCCTTTCATCTTCGAGCAAGCTCTGTGTGTGTTGTGTGACGGCGCATCAGCGGTGGTTGTTGAGACAGTGGTGCAGAGTGCCTGTTATTTTCAGTTATCCCCTGAGCACTTCAGCATTAAAAGAGCTAGTTTCCTTACTAAAAGAGAAAGCACGGGTGAGACACTGCTAGTGCCTCCTCCACCCTCACTATCCTCGATGGCGGGGCAGCCAAGGTATACGTGGAGATTCCTCAGGTGGAATCTGTAGTTGCGATGCAGCTTTGCCCGCAAAGTGCTGCCACCTGGCAGGGTCGCCCACGTCTCCCATCCTAGGCCTGTAAGTTCTCATCCGCTATGGCACCAAAGGCTTACAGTGCCGCTGGACAGGTCGCTTCCGCCCTGCATGCCATGGCGCTCCTGCAAGTCTTTACAGCCTCTTTGGTGACACTGTCAAGAACTTTGCTCAGCAATTTTCAGCAGTACAGAAGCAGACGGAGGCGATTAAACACATCCTGCCCCGGTGGCCTGCTGCTGCTTCCACCCAGCCGCCTGCGGCAGTTCCCCCACCTGCTCGTCGCTGAGGGCGTCTTCCTGCGGCCTCCACCTCCGCTCCAGTACAGCCCAAGCAGCAGCCTCCACCTAGGGTGCAGAGAGGAGCGAGATGCAGGAAGCAGACGCTGCCCGTCCCAGCCTCCACTGCACCCTCTGGGCGACCTGGAGATGGAGGAAGCTGCTCTTCAGGAGTCGGTGACTGCACCGCTCCTTCCTCCGGAGGAAGGCCATGTGGAGAATCCTTTATTTCTTTTCCTGGTTTTCAACAACCTTTATGCATATTCAAATAGGATATTTTATTGAACTACACGGTTAAATCTAAAAAGAGTTGACATATACAAAACTGACTCTATATACAGTATGAAACAAGTACATGGGTTTTTCTTTGTATACTGAGTCATCAGAACTCAAAGAGGGGCTGATCTTACCTGGCACACAGGTGCGGGTGTCCTGCAGGAGTGTGTATCCAGGGTAGCAGGCGCACAGGTAGGATTCACGAGTGTTGATGCAGGTGTGATGGCAGAACGGTGCATATCTCTGGCACCTGTCATCCTGCTCCAAATACTCCAGTGAATTTGCTGCAGGATCCACATCCCCAACCGACAATGCTTGCTTCGGAAACTGACTGTCTGATACTGAGGAAGGGGAGAGATAGTAAGATTAAAGTCATCAGACAGAGTTAGATATGACTGTATATCTCTTGCATATGACTCTGTTTACTTTATTTACATTACTTGTCTACCACTGAATCCTCTGCAATGGTTGCCGTCAGAATGATAGTTCAAGCAGCTGATAAAAACATCACAATCCACAAGCAATCCACACAAATTCAGTCCGACAACTAACATCTTGTGAAGTGAAAAACTGTGTGTTTGGATTACATGTGGATTATTGTGATGTTTTTCTCGGCTGTTTGAACTCATTCTGACAGCACCTATTCACTGCAGACGATCCACTGGTGAGCAAGTGATGTGATGCTAAATTTCTCCAAATCTGTTTTGATGAAGAAACAAACTCATCTACTTCTTGGATGGCCTGAGGATGAGAAAATTTTTAGGAAATTATCATCACTATTTCTTTAAACTTTGTCTGACAAAATGGAAGTTGCATTTTTAAAAAAATGAATTAAATAAAGGGGTCATATGATGCGATTTCAAGTTTTCCTTTCTCTTTGGAGTGTTACAAGCTCTTGGTGCATAAAGAAGATCTGTAAAGTTGCAAAGACTAATGTCTCAAATCCAAAGAGATATTCTTTATCAAAGTTAAGAGTCAGCCACACCTACCTAAAACGGTTCGTTCTAACACGCCCCCACCTGTCAGAAATCATAGCACGTCAGCTGTCTTAACCGCGGCTTGTGTACTGCATCATCGCGACTCTGTTGCCCTTTCGGGCTTGAACTGATGGTAAAACTAACGACATTATTAACTGTCTTCATATTAACTTTGAAAGCTGACGCTCGCGATTATGGCAAGGGGTGTTACATTTCCGACGCGTGCTTGCAGTGTTCGGCCAATCACATTGCACTGGGTCAGCTGGCCAATCAGAGCAGACTGCGCTTGTCAAAGGAGGGGGCTTTGTAGAAAACTAAGCGTTTGAGAGGCGGGGCATAGAGGACCTACAATAATGTACAGTATTTGAAAAATAATGTTTTTTGAACATTAAAGCATGTCAACATATTCTGTTACACCAAATACACAAAATAATGATCTTTAAAATAGCATCATATGACCCCTTTAAATAAGAATATCTCTACTGTTGGCCGATAACTGATATGGTACTTTATATATATTGTGCATGCCTAATTGTCATTGGTAATCATTTTCAAAACAAGGATTTGATGAAAAACATGTTTTAAAAATCTGATTTAAAAATCTAAATTATAAATGCAAAGTTAATTTGACAGTATATCTGTATTAATGTTGGTTTCATGGGTATTAGAAAAATCTTTATACATTTTAAAGTAAAACGTATTTTTACACTTTTTATTGGGGTAATACATTTGATGTGAACCTGAACTAACCTTCTCATGTCATAAAAAGGATAAATTGACTGTTATTTTGAGAGACTTACACGCTTTGACTCACAGATTCACAGTGTTTGATTTGAAGGGCCCTTTGAAGCAGTTATTTTTGAGCACTTCTGTCTGGAACATCTGCTGTGATTGTTTCACTTCGAAATGCCCTGAATAGTTATCATTTATGCCATCTGAAATGGCATGACAGTCATAAGGGTCTACAGAGGTCCTCTCTATGATAATATTTCCCATCTTTTTTTTTTTTTTGATGGATGATGGATTTCACACTACCTTTTTGGAAAGTGATTTGTAGGAAAGTTTTTTCAAATTTCAGTAATATTTTACAACCAAAGAGCTTCATTCCTTATTCTATTTAAATTATTAACAATATATATATATATATATATTTTTTTTTTATCAAGCATTTTTGTACGGAAGTTCTAAGCGGCCATGCAATATTATTATTTTTTCTTCTCGTTTTCTCGTTATAACGACTTAATTTTCTCGTGATA